CGGGTGATATCATATGGGCTCATGGCCATGCCCGCCGGCCTCCCGCAGAGACGATCTCTGCCTGGCACGTCCTGCACGCAAGACCACGGGCACGGCCATGTGCGCCTTGATTTGAGCAGGCAATCACGGACATTCCGGCCGGAGGGGTCGGCGGGTAATCCGCAGTGTATTGATCCGTCTACCGCTACCTATCTATTCTACTCCTAGTAGTACGAGTAGATTCCAACTGGAACTCGGATTGGATCGCCGACAGACAGCACGAGTGACGAGTGCGCACGTACGGTGATATATACGCCGACTGCGTTGCTGGGATACAGTCATACTGGCTGGCGAGCTCCTACGGGGAGACGGCGGCGGCCCAACTTCTAACCCCGTGCCGAGATGATACTGAGGCTGTCTTTAGTTCGTGAAATTTGGGGATTTGGTTACTGTAGCATGTTTTGACAATTAGTGTTCAATCATAGACTAATTAGGCTTGAAACGTTCGTCTCGTGATTTTCAACAAAACTGTGCAATTAGTTTTTTTTCGTCTATATTTAATGCTCTATGCACGTATCACAAGATTTGATGTGATGACTACTGTAGCACTTTTTAGAAAAAAATTTAGGAACTAAACACAGCCCGAAAAGAAATGAAAAAAAGCAGGCCCAAACGTCAAACCTCGCTCTCAGTCTCAGGTTCGCACTCGCTATGGGCAATGGCTACGCCTGCGTGTCATCATGTGGCTCATCATGGGGAAAAGCACGTCCTCCGCACCGGCACAGATCTGTGTGGACACCACACTACCACACCACCTGCTAATCCGCGGCGTGTGGCAGCAGCCCCTGACGGTACGCTTCCAGTTCCAGGCACGGGGTGTGGCAGCAGCGCAACGGCAGGAGCGTACTACTACGAGCATCGAGGCCTTGTTTAGATCACCTTCAAATTTCAAGTTTTTTCACTCTCTTAATCACATTAAATTTTAGCTATTTGCATGGAGCATTAAATATAAGTAAAAAAATAATTAATTGTATAGTTTAGTTGGAAATCACGAGATGAATTTTTTTAACTTAGTTGGTCCACGATTAGGTAATATTTACCAAATAAGACAAAAGTACTACTATTCATCGGGTTAAAATTTTTTACAATCTAAACATGGCCCGAGCATCGGGGTAGGTGGCAGGCGGCAGCGGCAGGGACAGGGCACAAGCGTAGCCTCCGAGGCGGCCGGCCGGTACGGTAAAGCAAAGTCGCGCGCTGCGCACCAACGTTCCTCCACTCCACCCAACAGTTTGGCAGTTTCGCCCTGCAACGTTCCCGGGCACGGGCGCTGGGACTATTATATGGGATGGGAGCAACCCGTCCGGGTTTCGAGCAGCAACAAGACCCCACTTTCTAACGCAAGGTCTTGTTTAACGCAAGGCCTTGTTTAGATTCTAAATTTTTTTCACACTTTTTCCATCACATTAAATTTTTAAACACATACATAGAGTATTAAATGTAAATAAAAAAATAACTAATTACACAGTTTGATTGTAAATTACGAGACGAATCTTTTGAGCCTAGTTAGACCATGATTGGATAATAATTGTCAAATACAAACAAAAATACTACAGTGCCAAATACTGATTTCTAGCTGCGAACTACAGGGCCCAAGCCATGACGGACGGCCCACGAGAGAGATGAGAACGGGAGGAAGGCGGCGGGGGCCTGCCGCGGCGTGCCGTGCTGCACTGCTGCCCCGCACTGGCAAAGGGAAGGAGGAAATATCTTCACCTCACTGGACCGTTACAAAGCTTCCAAGTCACGAGCGGTGCATCTACCTGCTCTCTCTCGCTCGCTGCCCGCATAGCTCCAACTCAAAAACTCCTGCGCCTGCAAGTGGGGCTTGGTTTTTTCACCACGCAGCGTGGGCGCGGCCAGCACACAAAGCCAACATTTCCAGCTCAACACTTTAACAGCAGCCAGAACAATCCATTAAGCACCACTTTTTTACTTAACCCAAACACTTTGGCAGTGCCTTTTACAGCCTTCATCGACCCACCGCCTCATCCTGAGATCCGCCTCGGCCTCGCGCATCAAAGCTGCTGTCAGAGAGACAAACTCTGAGCAACTGCCCAGTGCCTGCCTTTTTCTTTACAGCATCCAAGGCTGCCCAAGCAAAGCTAACCCACCAGTCACCGCCTCCATTAATTATGACTAAAACAAGGCGGCTGGCTGGCGCACTTCTTTACCCGCTAATCACTCGCTAATTAATTAACCGCGCTGCTCGCTCCCTCTCGCAGCGGTTCAGGGGCTCAGCAGTCAGCAGCCCTTGGGCGCGAACCCGACGCGCTGGCCGTCGCCGTCGAACACCACGCGGAACCCCTGCTGCTGGATGTTGCCGATGATGGACACCCCGCCGTCGGTGCCCGCGAACGCGAAGCAGAAGGTGCCCCTGGAGTCCACGGGGATGAGGTAGTTCTCGGGGGGCAGGGACGCCTCGGCGCCGCCCGCGAAGTGCATCGACACGGTGGGCACCTTCACCACCTTGCGCCCGCCCAGGTCGTAGCACGTGTCGAAGAGGGAGAACCCGCCGGGGGAGAGGCGGAGCCCCGCCGCGGCCGCGCGGAAGGCGTCGCGGAGCGCGGAGTAGGACGGGCGGGCGAGCCGGGTCACGGAGGTGCCCGAGTCCACGATGACGCCGCCGCGGCCCGTGGACGGGTCAAGGCGGAGGTCGGACTCGGCGACGCCCGGGACGCGCGCGCCGCCCACGCTGATGCCCACGAGCTGCACGTAGTAGAACGTCTCCATGCGCGGGTTGCGGACCATCGGGGTGAAGGACGCCGACGCGACGGAGCCCGGGCCGAAGGTGACGGTGGAGGAGCGGGAGCCCGACGCGGCGCTGGACGAGGACGAGGACGTGCGGTCGACGAGGCAGTAGGAGAAGCTCCGGCCGTAGCGGCGCGAGATCTGGGTCGGGAACGACAGGCTGCCGCGGCCCAGGCCCAGCAGCCCCGCCGCGGCCACGAACAGGCCCTCGTTGTCGTGGCCGCACCCGAGCGCCACCCGCGCCACGCGGGCGCCCCCCGCGAAGGTGAGCGTCTCGGTGGCGAAGTCGCCCGCCGTCACGGAGCCGTCGCCGTAGGCGACCTGGTACAGGCACGCCCTGCGGCGCAGGTCGCAGCCCCCCGAGTCCAGCCTGCGGCACAGCGGCGCGGCGCAGTCGACGGCGCCGTACGAGCTGGAGCGCCGCGGGTCGAACACCGGGCCCGACTGGTCGTAGCACCGGCGGCACGGCGCGCACTGCAGCCACACCACGTCGCTGCCGGTGTCCAGCACCATGAGCGCCGGCGTGGCGGGCGTGCCCACCCCGATCTTGGTGAAGTACTCCCCGCTCCCCTGCGCGAGGCCCGAAACCACCGGCGCGGCGACGCCACCGCTGCTCCTTGTCCCATTGGCCGCGTTGGCGCCACCGGCGGCCGCCGCCTTCGAGATCCGCGCCGCCCTACGCCTGTCCCGCTGCAGGCGGTGCTTGAGCAGCTCGGCCGGGGTGGCGTTCGCCGCGAAGGCGTCCCGGTGGACCACGCGGAAGTGCACGGCCGACGCGGCTGCGGTTGCGGCGCCCTCCTCCGCGCGACGGCAAGGCTGCCGCCGAAGAGATCCTCGTCCGTGTCCGCAGCCGGAGCCGTGTACGCGTGGGGCGAGAGCGGGGTGGCTACGAAGCTGTGGTACTCCACGGCCTTCGCGAGCGCGGCGGCATTGGAAGCGGCGACAAGGAGGAGCACCGCGGCGAGGGTCGCCATGGCTAGCAAGCGCCTCTGGTCGCTTGCTTCAGCTCCAGTGGAGTGTACTGGCAGGGCGAGTTGGTGGGCATATATGAAGGGCGAGTTGCTGTCATTTGTCATTAGCAGCAGGTGAGATTAGATTAGGACGGAGGGGATTAATGAATGCGCCAGGATGGAGGGCGGAGATAGTAGGTGCCGCAACTATGAACCCTATTCGTTCGATCTATGATATATGATATAGTATTTTTCTATCCACAGTAAAAACAACATCGATCGACGCCACACAAATATATATGATATATGATATATGATATATGATATATGATATATGATATCCTAGCAGTTATTTATTGAGGTGCATGTCCGGAGGATGTCTCGGTGCCGTGCCGCGTGCCACGAGGCGACGCGGAATAAATGTTCCGGGGCGCCGCGCAAACCACCAGAGGAGCAGGCGGGCGGGTCCGCGGGTGGACGCTGGCTTTGGATACGACCCGCTGCCGCTGGTGTAGACACGTTAGTTGCCGTGCCGTGACTCGTGTCGGTGCATCGCAGCTTCAAACTCAGCACTGTCAGCGTGTGATTCAGCTGGATCATCTTTTTTTTCTGAAATAAATTCCTGGATAATCTTCTTCTGCAGATCGTTTTGACGTTTTCTCATCTGGACCTGTCCGCGGTCCGCCATACTATACTAACGGGAATAGTCGAAGCGACCAATAGGAGCCATACAGTCATGAGTACAGCAGTGTAACATATAATAACTACATATATATACATACACTAAGAGCAACTCCAACAATAATCCTAAAACAGGGCTCCTACTTTTTATTTGGGTGGTCCCCTAATTTTTGTTGGCCCTGTTTTCTAGATTGAACTCTATTTCCTCACAAACTAGAGCATATATGTATTTGAGAACATCATATATATAATAATTTATTTAAACTATATCAATAAAGCACCATGCGTAAAATAATAAACGAAAAATGTTAATATTCAAATTTAAATTTAAACATAAATTTGGCTCAGATTTGACGACATCCAAAAGAATAGAGCTGCAGCAATAGTTCAAAAGCCTCTGCAATAAACTAGAACTGCAATGAACTAAAACTAGAGGTGCCTACAACTTGCATTGACTGATTGTGCTACTTTAGTCAGCCTGATTGTGCTACCACAGTCAGGCACTAGTTCATTACATCATTATCAAATAAAAACACTAATAGCCTGTAACCTGCTACCATGTCCTCCACCGCTTCAATATCAAATTTCTCCTCCACCACTAGCTTCATGTCCTCCACTGCTACCAGCGAAAGCGCTGTTGAAGGCCGCCATCTTTTGTGCTGCAATCTGAGCCCTCATTGCTATCACATATGTCTTCTGGGAGGGGTCTAATTTCTCAAGGTCACAAAACATAATCTTTTGTTCTTTCTCCCATAGCGTTTTGTCCGCCTCATTTGCAATCTTGCGCTCTTCAAGTGCTAATCTGTGCTCATGCATCATCTTGTTCTCTTGCCACCTATCCTCTCTAACTTTCTCTTTGTCTGAAAGAACTTTCTCTATCAAGCTATAATCCATTTGTTCTCCTCCTTTCTTCAGCTTCTCCTGAGCTTGCTTTCTCCCCATAGGCCTTTTACTGCTAGGCATAGCTGAGTCAGGGGTTTAGCTCTTATTACTCTCACCATCTTCTAGATCAAACACATCCACTGTTCCTGGTAGTGAATTGCTTTCCCTAGGCTTTTTGTTGGTGACAGGGGGCACAAACTTCTCGCTATGCCTAATCATCTGCCAACAATGAAGGAAAGGAAAGCCCTGCTTCTTCTTTCCACCAGCATATAATTTTTGAGCTTCTAGCAACTGAAATCAAAGATGTAGCAGCTTAATAAAGATAATGATGCAGCAGCTTAACAAAATCAAAGATGCAGCAACTTCTAGCAACAATGATGCAGCAACTAATAAATTTCTCACATGTTCCTGGTATGGCACTCCACTAGGATGGCGGCGCTCAACCTCATCATATAAGCCTTGAAACTTCTGGCACTCTTTGTGAATTGTCGCCCACCGATGCTCAAGAGAGTTCGCATTCCTATCAGATGCAAATTTTTTGTTCGCATGAAAGTTATCATGAATTCGCTTCCAATAGGCCTTGCCAAAGTTGCTCATTTCGAAAGATAGGATCCAAACTTATGTTCTCCCAAGATTCACACAATTGGATGTCTTCATCCGTAGAGAGTAGTTAGCGACACGAATTGCCTTCTTCTTTGGTGCACTAGGTTGACTAGGTGAAATTCCAATGTCATCAATCTCAAATTCACGGAAAGCATCCGTGACCAAGGACCTTCCTACATATATGACAAAACTGATACAAAAAAAACACATAATTAATGTTTTGGGCTCCCAACCATCTAGAGTTTGCATAAATGTGTGGAGTAACAAAATCGAAAGCGCTTATTTTAGTACATATGGACAACACTGCAAACAAGCCGCTTTAATTTCACACTACTACTACTAGGATCCAAATTGGATAGGATTAAAAAACATCACATCATACAAGTACCACACTAGTAGGATCCAAATTGGATACAACTCATTCGAGCTTGTAACGTAAGAAAGGAAGCAAGAGAAAGCATGTTTTACCACCACGCGCGCTCCTGCCGCAATACACCTCTCTCTACGCGCGCCATACATGGCTACGACTGAGCAGCCTGCTGCATATGCCTCTATTTTGCGCGAGCTCGAAAGGACCAGGAAGCAACGGCTTCAGTCATACCTTCAATGGGAGAGTCGCCGGAGCCAGAGGTCGCGCCTCACAGGGGATTCGTAGGGGGCGGTGGTCGCATCTTGTCGGGGAAGTCACCGGTGAAAGCTCTAGTTTGGTTTTGGTTAATTGATGAAACCCTAAGTGCTAACCTAGTTTATCTAAGTGATTATGAGATAGTTAGCACTACTCCAAGAGATGAAGCAATACTGAAGATCATGACAATGGTGATGGTATGTTGATGATCAGATGCTTAAACTTGGAAAAGAAGAAAGAGAAAAACAAAAGGCTCAAGGCAAAGGTATAAATTATAGGAGCCATTTTGTTTTAGTGATCGAGACACTTAGCGAGTGTGATCACATTCAGGATTGATAGTCGTACTATTAAGAGGAGTGAAACTCGTATCGAAATGCGGTTATCAAAGTGCCACTAGATGCTCTAACTCATTGCATATGCATTTAGGATCTAGTGGAGTGCTAACACCCTTGAAAATGTTTGAGAAAATATGCTAACCCATGTAGTGAGGACCGTGTGTGAGTCACCGCTAGCTTGGAGTCATCAGGATCAGCAGCACTACCAGAAAAGACACTCCACTATTATAAACCCTACTTTGGATACTTATCAAGTTGCATTATGAGTTATGCATTACATGTAGTCTTGGATAATGATCACTCTCATACTACACCTAGAGTAGCTTAATAATCTATAGAAGTCTCTCATCTAAACAATGGGAATGGAAATGCTTAATGCTTATTGCTTAGTTGCTTGGGCAATGGTAGAAGTCGAGCATGAGAAGGGAACTCATACTCGCGCGTGTAGGATGTTACACCTAGATAATTAACCACTAAAACCAATGAGGGTACTATAACACCCCGGTGTTATGCCTACATTTAGGCACTGCTAATCATACATATCATGCATCATCAAGCATCCTAATCATACATGCCTAATCATGTAAATAACAATTGAAACACTGCTACGAAACATTTGAAACATGTTGTGAAACCTAAATGTGCATACTTTTGTTAGACTTGTTTTGCCCTGATTTTGCTTGCTAGGTTAGTAAAACATGTTTGGCTACTATTGTAAATCATCTAGGAATGTTTAGTTCAATTTTTGGAGCAAAGTTTGTATTCAAATTAATTCAAAATTTGGCTTCAAAAATAAATTCCCAAAAATTAGGGTTTTGAGTTAAACGTGGACTTTGACCTTGCAATTCAAAATCTAGAAAGAATTTGGCTGTGGTTATAAAAGCAAAGTTGTAGAAAATTAAATTCTAAGCAACTTTCATTTTTGGTACATTTTCAAAAGATGTCATTTTCTTGCTCAAAATAATATTTGAAAGATGGCATTTAAAAATTCCTTGAAAATACAAATGAAAAAGGCTTTTTCCTCCTTGGCAGGGGCCCACTTCACTCCCACGACTGAAGCGGCCCAACCAAAGATCCCAGGCCACACATGCATGCTCGCCTCATTGCTGGCCATTGCCTCCTCACTTACCCACGCCATTGACGCCACACACGCGCCGATCACCCGGCAGAAGGCGTGCCCGCCGTGTGGTGGCATATGCTGCCGCCGACGCAGCCGTGTCAGCAGCCGGCCATGCTTGCCACCCACGCCCGCCTACACTGGGCCGAGCCGGTGCGCTCGCTCACTCCCTCCCAAGCGCCTTTCCTCTCCCAGAGCCGAGAGCCCCAAGCTCTCAAGCCTCTCGCCACGCACGCTTGCACGGCGCACTTCGCCACGGCCTCCACCTCGGCCAGCAATCACGCGCCCGCAGCTCCGCCTCGCCCTCCTTCAAGTTGTGCTCGCGTTTGCGCCACCTGCCGAGCTCAGGTAGAGCCGCCTCAGCCTCGCCACCAACGGCCATGGCGCCGCCGTGCTCGGCCGCCATGAAAGTCACCTCTCCTCTCTTCTCAAGCCCCGCCTAGCTGTCCTACCACATTCGCCATATTCTCGCGATCCCATGCCCAACCGCCTCGCCATGGCCGGAGATGGTCGGCTGGCCTCGTGGCGAGCCATACTGGCCACACCAACAATAAGCGCCGTCAGTAGCCCTCGCCGGTGGCCGGTAGCCGTGTGGTGTGGTCGGCGACGTCCGCCGGGCGTCTTCCCCCCTCCCTTGCGTTCGGACAGAGCGAGAAAAAAAGCGGTCAGTGGGCGGTGATTCAAATGGGCTGGCCCAAGAGAGTTTAAAGAAATTGTTTTCAATTTATTCTTTATTATTTGAAAATAGATATGGTTTGCAAAATGTTTGGATACTCAAAGTTGCTCCAAATCTGTTGAAATAAATTTGTCTAGGTTCCTTATCATCAGATCTACTTGGGAAAAATAGTGCATGTCATTTTTGAGATACTTTGCTGTAGAATTTTATTTAATCATGAATATTGCTGATAACTTGAAAAATATGTAGAAAAATCTATAGACTTCAGAAAAAATATGATTTCAAGTTTGTTAATCTTCTTATGTCATGTATTTCCTAGGAAAAATATGTTTCATGCATGTGCTGTGGGAAAATTTTGAGGTGTAGTACAAGCACCTTTAATTGCTGATTTTTGTTATTTTTGCTAGAGAGCAAACTTTGTATAAAACATGCATGTGATAATTTTTGTGCAGTCATTGTATGCTATTAAGAACCTAGGAAAAATACTAACTCTGTTGTTTGACACTTTTCACAGTTCAAAGTATTTTTATGTTCATAATCCTGCCATGCCTTGTCATTTTTGTGTAGACTATTTTACTTATCCAAACGCCATGAAAATTTTATGGTAGTCTACTTAGAGTAGTACTATGCTACTGTAATTTTCTTAGATTTTTATAAGCACCAGAAATATAGGTTGCTGTTGTAGCCCTAGTTTAAAATGAAATAAAATAATCCTCTTTAATGCAAGTTAGTTAATAATGTTAACTTTGGTGTATCTTTGAAGCATTTAATAAGATGTGTTGACTTAACCTATTAGTAGTAGAAGAGAATGCAGTAGATGACATGTGCTTGTAGTATATTTTCTTGGATGATGTTGACTACCTTGCATTCAAACATATCCATTGTATTTATCTCATCCGATGCACCGATTGCATAAGCACTTACACGCATTGCATCATATAGATCGCAAATCGAGAACCCAAATCGTACATACCGAGGAGCCGAGGAGCAGCTTCGAGGTGCAGCCGCAGAGAAGTGCCGTGTTTAACGAGAGAGGACGTTGAGGAACTTCCAGAGTGCCCCGATCACCGTCCGAGCTCCTTCGAGAGAGGCAAGCCCCGGAGCATTTTTCTCCCGGTTTGCAATGATTTAATTAAATGCTTTACTTTAATTGATGCATTACGTTCAGGAGTTGTTTGCAACCGTTCTTTTTGCATTATACCTTGTTTACCTTTGTTATACTATATCCTTGTTACCCGGTATCCGCAATGATCGTCAATACTTAGTCGGCTTAGACCGGTAGAAGTCGGGTGATTTCCTATCACCGCGAGCTATAGGTGGTTACCGGATCTGCTTGGATGACTATGAAGTCATGGTATAACTAAGTGTTAAATGAAGTTGAGACCGGACGGAGACTTGTAGAGTTTTGGACCGTAGTGTTTCCGTCAGGTCGATTAAGGACCGACCATTGTTGGGCCTCGAGTCATGTTGAACGCATGCCTTACATTTAGTCGGTGGATAAAGTACCTTCCGACCGCTGAAGTCGGGAGATTTTTCGGCCGAGTAGATTGCCCGCAGCCAAGACTATGCCGGAAAGCAGTGTGGTAGGACACGGGGCGAGATGATAAGACCAAAGTGCGATCGGTCGGCCCCGGTACATGTGGTTCTGGCAAACTCGAGATACCGGAAAGTTGACTTCGGTGATCAATATCTCACTTTAGCGGGTGAGTGAGGTTTGTGTAAGGAATAAATCACCACCGGTTAGGAATTGATTCGAATCGCCATCGCTCCCGGATAGTGAGCACTTGACTTGAGTTACTTCATCGTAGTAAATGTTTATGGAACACTTGGACAGCTTATAGTGAATATGACAAGATGGAAGTTGTTTAATGATCAAGTGGTTATCATTATCTCGCTTAATCATATGTGTGCTCTAGTATAGGTGCAAATCTAGTCAACAAGTTAATAATAATAATTAACTTGACAATAATGCTTTTAGAAAGGTTCTTGAAATGCTAAAAATGCTTCTTTTGCAAATGAGTAAGCTACCCTACTATAAAGCCCTTCATAATCCTTGGTGTCATTTATTTTCGGTTATGTCGGGTAAGTCTAGCTGAGTACCTTCTCGTACTCAGGGTTTTATTCCCACTTGTTGCAGATGGGCAGATGTATTACGGCTCTTCGTATCAACCGCTGCAGTATCCTGCGATGGGTGATGCTTAGAACCATGGGCATGGTCATTCCTTACGTCTCGTCTAATGC